GCAACAGCACGATCTCTGCTCACTGCAGCCTCTGTCTCCTGGGTTCAAACAATTCTCTTGCCTCAGCCTCCTGAGTAGCTGAGATTATAGGCATGCACCATCATGTCCAGCTGATTTTTGTATTTTTAGCAGAGACAGGATTTTACCATGTTGGCCAGCCTAGTATTGAACTCCTGACCTCAGGTGATTCGCCCGCCTCAGCCTTCCAAAGTGTTAGGATTACAGGCATGAGTCACTGTGCCCGGCCCCAGCACCTCTTTTAAAAAGAAAAGTTATAGAGTTGAAATACTTGCTCTCATGGTCCACTATAATGCTAAGCATAAGTAAGATTACATATGTTCTTTTAATTAAGCCTCATGACTCGACAGTAAGGCTGTGGTTGGATTTTTTTGCAGAAGGAACTGAATCATAAAAATTCAGTACGTATCCAAATTAATACAAGTAGTCTCAAAGTGGCAGAGCTGAGTTACAAATTCATGTCTGCTGGTTCCAAAACTTGTCTCTTTCTGCCACTAAGAAACCTTTGAATGTGGCCCCTAGGAATCATAAAATGTCCAAAGATGTGACAAATCTGAAAGCCAAAATGTGGAATATCAAGAATTATATTAGACACTAGAAAGAACAGATAACAGGAAAGGGGAAGAGATGGAGTTTGTCATAAATGAAGATGGACTCAGTGTCAGAAAGCAGAGACCTGGGGCCAAGAACGGACGCTTATGCCAGTAATTCCAACTCTTTGGGAAGCCAAGGTGAGAGGATCACTTGAGCTGAGGAATTCAAGACCAACCTGGGCAACATGATGAGACCTCATCTCAAAATAAAAGGAGGGAGAGAGAAAGCAAACAAGCAAACAGAGACCCCAAATCTAATATAATCCATAATACCCCAAACCTAATATATTCCAAAGAGCAAACTTAGGAACCATGAGCTTGTTAATGTGACTATGTTATGATGGAGAAGTATGAGGAACAGGTATTCTCCTCTCTCCTGTATAGCTGGAAGGAGTTAAGCTGCATGTCTGAAAGACTATTTGGCAAAATTAAAAGATACAAATATACCTTGACCCAGCTATTTCACTTTGGGGAATTTACTCACACATTTACATGCACAAAAAGTAAATACAAGGTTACTGTATCTAACAACAAAAGACTTAGGTGTCTACTAATAGTAGATCAATTAAATAACATTCATTAAATAAAATGCTATGCTCCCATTGAAAAACACAAAGGCAGGTCCTCTGAATGTGTTGATATGAGTAATTTCAAATTTTTTTTTTTTTTTTTGAGAGGAGTGTCACTCGGTCGCCAGACTGGAGTGCAGTGGCACAATCTTGGCTCACTGCAACTTCTGCCTCCCAGGTTCAAGCGATTCTCCTGTCTCAGCCTCCTGAGTAGCTAGAATTACAGGTGCACACCACCACACCCGGCTAATTTTTGTATTTTTAGTTCACCATGTTGGTCAGGCTGGTCTCGAACTCCTGACCTCATGATCCACCCCCCTTGGCCTCCTACAGTGCTGGGATTACAGGTGTAAGCCACCGAGCCTGACCTCTTTTTTTTTTTTTTTTTTTTTAAGGCTAGTCAAGTGAATCAACGGGTAAGTTCTATAATTAAGTGAAAAAAAGAAGGTACTCAACAGTGTGTACAGCATGATACTATTTGTCAAAAAATATACATCTACACAGATATATATTTGGCTTTAAGAGGATAAAATACAGTATGTACATATATAGCTTTAAGAATTCAAGGCCAGGAGCAGTGGCTCACACCTGTAATCCCAGCACTTTGGGAGGCCAAGGTGGGTGGATCACCTGAGGTAGGGAGTTTGAGACCAGCCTGACCAACATGGAGAAACCCCATCTCTACTAAAAATCCAAAATTAGCTGGGTGTGGTGGCGCATGCCTGTAATCTCAGCTACTCAGTTGCCTGAGGCAGGAGAATTGTTTGAACCCGAGAGGCAGAGGTTGCGGTGAGCCGAGATTGCGCCATTGCCATTGCACTCCAGCCTGGGCAACAAGAGTGAAACTCTGTCTCAGAAAAAAAAAAAAAAAAGAATTCACAAGAAGCTGATATTGGTAGTTGCTTTGGGGAAGGAAAAGGAGGGACTAGAGAAAGGGTAGAAAGATCTATTTTTTTCACTGCATACACTTAAATGTTGTTTGAAATGTTTGCCTTTTTCAAGAAATACTCATTCAAAAAAATTAAATGAAAACAATCATAAGAATGAGTTACAAACTAAAATTATAACTGTGTGACCTTACAGACATACACACAGACCTGAAATAGTATCCACCTACATCCTTACCAGTGTACACTGGCTCTTTTTCCATATAAAGCTTTCTGAGGTTCAGGGGTTTCCCTACGAGAGTATTCTTCTTTTAATGATAAGTATTTTATTTTAACTTAAAGCACAATTGTTCATCAATTGTTCAAAGCTAATTTCTTCCTATGGCAAACCAATATTCACCCCTCCCTAAACCCTGTTGTCTCTTTCCTTTATTGTAGTTCTCCAATTAGAGGAATTAGCCTAGAATAGCTAGTTTTTCTTTACATACTTTTTTCCAATTATCATATCATTATACTAGGGTTCCTTACTGTATTCTTTTGGAAAAAGAAACTATCAGAGCCCATCAGCCTCCAAGGAGAACTGCCTCCACAATTACATTACATATTCCGAATTTCTAGGTCCATGTAATGCAAAAGGAGACTAGCTATTGCTAGGGATTCCCAAAGGCTGCCCAAATGGTTTGGGCCCAGAATAAACATTATTGAGGAAACATTGCCCCCTGGTGTTACTTAGGAAGTTTAAATGTGTTAAACGAAGGAAGAGATGGGGCCAGGCTTCTGCTTGTAATCCCAACACCTTGGGAGGCCAAGGTAGGAGGATTGCTTGAGGCGAGGATTCGAGACCCACCCTGGTCAACACAGAGAGACCTCCATCTCTACAAAATTTTTTTTTAATTTTATGTATTTATTTTTAATTTAATTTATTTTTATTTGCAAGATGGAAAATTTCACAAGAAATTCTATTGAAATCAACAAACGTGAGTATATGCTAAGCACTGTTAATAGGCCTTATTAGTTCATTAATGAATGATAATTAATTTCCTAGCACTCAGTTCTAGTTTTACTGGGCTCCAGATCAAAAATAAACAGTAGCACCGGGCACGGTGGCTCACACCTGTAATCCCAGCACTTTGGGAGGCAGAGGCGAGTAGATCACGAGGTCAAGAGATCAAGACCATCCTGGTCAACATGGTGAAACTCTGTGTCTACAAAAAATACAAAAAATTAGCTGGGCATGGTAGTGCATACCTGTAATCCCAGCTACTCAGGAGGCTGAGGCAGGAGAACTGCCTGAACCCAGGAGGCAGAGGTTGCGGTGAGCCGAGATCGCACCATTGCACTCCAGCCTGGGTAACGAGCGAAACTCCATCTCCAATAAATAAATAAATAAACAGCAGCAAACAGTTTCTGAAAAAGTCTTTCTATCCAGTATCTATTGATGCCAAAGTATTGCACATCCCCTGTGGGAAACTAAAGAAGAGACAAGGCCAGGTGGACTGGCTCACACCTTTAATCCCAGCACTTTGGGAAGCCAAGGCAGGCAGATCACAAGGTCAGAAGATCAAGACCATCTTGGCCAACATGGTGAAACCCCATCTCTACTAAAATACAAAAAAATTAGCTAGGTGTGGTGGCACATGCCTGTAGTCCCAGCTACTTGGGAGACTGAGGTAGGGAATCGCTTGAACCCAGGAGGCAGAGGTTGCAGTGAGCACTCTAGCCATTGCACTCTAGCCTGGCAACAAGCAAGACTCCGTCTTTAAAAAAAAAAAAAAAAAAGAAGAAGAGAGAGAGAGAGAGAGAGAGAAGGAGACAAAAAATGATGTCCTCTTGTCTTCAGATCCCTCTGCTAACAAATCTATACCCTTAGGCCTCCCAAAGAAGGCCCTGTCCCCTAAGTGCTACTGACTGAAGTCCTGTCTGTTATTCCAAAAAACTAGTCTTTAATAATCACTGAATTTCTAATAACATCTCTTGGGAAACATAAAGGTAGGAGTGAGTAGAGGATATTATCCTCCTAGTCTTAGAAAATGAGGCTTTGGACCACACTAATCTGGGATTCAGATTCTAGCTTATTAATTCATAAGCTGATGGCTTTGGACAAGTGACTTTCAATCTCAGTATCCTACTCTGAAAAACAGGGATAATAATACTTATCCTGAATGACAGTTGTAAGGATTAAATGGTGAGATAACGTTTAGAAAGGTACCTAACAGCGGTACATATTCTACCCTCTTGCCAGAAAAATCTTGACAAACCATGGATTGGATCGTGTTAAATTCCTATTTAAAGTTTTTCAATGAATCCTGTTGCCTTTGGGATAAAATTCAAACTCAGAGAATCCTTCAAGATCTGGCCACCGCCTCCCTCATTCCTCATGCCTTCCTATCTACACAGCAGTCATGAAGTTCCCAAACGTGCCCCAGACTTACACATCTCTATACCTCTTGCCTACAATGACTTTTCTATTTATTTTCTCCCAGCTAGTTCCTACTCATCTTCAAAACTCAGCTCAGTAACAGTCTCCTCAAAGATGTTTTCTCCAATCCTCAACCATCCAGGGTCTACCACAATCAAAGAACCTATCATACTTGATTATAATTTCCTATTTATCTGTCTTCTCACTAGATTATGAACTCCAGGAAGAGGCTATATTGTCTCATGTCTGGATAACCAACAATTAGCCCATAGTAGATGCTTTTAAAATGCTGAATAAATAAATGAACGCATAAAAACATCGAATACTCTGCTTCTTTTGCAAGGAAAGGATATATAACAGTCAAGAATCCTTTCTGCCTTCTGTCTAGTCAATGAAAGTTTTCTGATTGGAGAAGAATTTCAACCAAGATTTGCAAAAAATATAAAAGCACCTAAAGCTTCATATCAAAGCAGCTGGCATCCTTCTCCCAACCTCATATTCGAATTGTACTTACCAGGGAAGGACTAGCTAGGACGCAGTGGAAATTCCAACAGAAGGGGAGGCCAGAGAGCTCACTCCGCACCCGTAAAATCAGTGCGTCTGCCACATGATCACAGGAGAAGGTAGCATCGCTAGGGTGAGCCGCATCCTTCAACAATGGGCGAAGCAGATTCTCCAAATGACAGAGGAAAGCTGCGGGAGGGGCAGTCAGCCGCTTGTTCAGCTCCTAAAGAGAGAGCAGCGGTACAGGGGAAGGGTGCTAAAAGGAAACAAATTCCCTCATAAGTAACAGCAAAGGAAAGCCCTGGTTAACATGAAGACAAAGGACATGAGAGGAAGGGGAAAGAAGAAAACAAAAAAAGAGACAGTCACAGAGATCTACTGGCCTGCTTCACAATTCTGCCTTGGGCAAGACGAACTTACAGAAGGCATATCTAGATCAAATGATATATTTGTTATCATACACAGGGCACAGAAACTTTCTCTCTCAAAAAAAAAAAAAAAGAAACTTTCTCTCTCTCTCTCTCTCTCTCTTTCTCTCTCTCTCTCTCTCACACACACACACACACACACACACACACACACACGAAGATTCCAGGGCTATAGGCAGCAGTACAGGACATTAACTGGAATTGTCTCAACCCCATTCGACCTTCCTTGGGAACCGACAGGCCAGCAAGCTGGTTGCCGTTAACATCCCCAACCTTCACTAGGAAAGAATGGTGTCCCCCAGCACTTCACAGCAGTACTTCTCTTCATACTTACCTTGGCTCGCTGGCTGACCACGCTAGTGTCCACCTGTTCATGCCACACCTGTTGAAGATCTGAAACTAACAAGGCATAGCCCTGATTGGTGATGAAAACCTTGGCCAAGAGGAAGTTCTCGGCAAGCTGTAGCCACGCCCACGGCTGCAACAGCAGCCCTTGCTCCAGTTCCTCCATCTGCAAGAAAGTCCTAATTTAGTAAAGTGCCTCAGGGTCATGCTGGCCTAGGGAGGGCACCACCCAAACCGCTCTGTATCAACTAAAATCTCAGGAAAATCCTCCCTGATAGAAAGCATGGATTTATGTTCTCCCCGTATACAATCAGCTGAGCACTGACCTTACTACTTCTTGGCCACTAAAAGTATATTTAAGATCTTGAGGGTTTTTTTTTTTTTTCCATATTACATTCCTAGAGGGCAAAAAAATCTTTCTTCCATAGAGTTTAAGCCTCTGTTGCTGTATTTCTGCTTTCTAATACTATAACATAATGTGGAAACCTAAACCCTTCCTGTTCCATCTCTATCACATTGCTAATAAATATGTCACTGCTATCCTTTCCCAGAACTAGAAGAGAAGGAATAGTTCTTGTCTTATAAAACATCATATAAGTCATAGTGTCAGGGCCAGGAAATTCAAATTATTTGATCATTATCTAAAAACAAAGTTTAGGAAGCTCTCAGGATTTTTTTAAATCCCTAAAACAAGATTCTTCTTCTTTTTTTTTTTTTTTTTTTGGAGACGGAGTCCCACTCTGTCGCCCAGGATGGAGTGCAATGGCATTATCTCAGCTCACTGCAACCTCTGACCCTGAAATCCTGGGTTCAAACAATTCTGTTGCCTCAACCTTCCCAGTAGTTGGGATTACAGGCGACTGCCACAACGCCAGGCTAATTTGTTTGTATTTTTAGTAGATAAGGGGTTTCCCCATGTTGGCCAAGCTGGTCTCAAACTCCTGACCTCAGGTGATCCACCCGCCTCAGACTCCCCAAATGCTGGGACTACCAGCATGAGCCACCGCGCCTGTCCCAAAACAGAGATTCTTCATCTAGAGTCAATGCATGTGAATCCTCTAGAATTATACGAAAATGTTGTGCATACATGCATATATGTAGGGGGAGGGGGAAGAGGTCTATAGCTATCATCAAACCCTCAAAAGGATCAATGACACAAAAAAGAGCTAAGAACCTGGGTCCAGGAGCAACAGAAAAGACCTAAATTCCATTTCAACAAAATTCCATTTCCAGATTGACTAGGAAATCATGAATACAAGGCAGAGCATATCACAGAGGTAAAGACTGAGTTAACTTCCGCAGAACTCATCCTCCACGTTCCCGCTCCAGTGCACGGCCACCAATGACATCACGCCCAACTGCACAGCCTAGAGCCCCCCAAAGTAGTAGGCTTAACCTAGTAGACAAACAGAACTATGGCTGCTTGACAGAGAATGGGATTATTTTTCCTGTAGCGGAGAAAAAAAAGATGACAGTTTCCTTTATTATTCCAGTCTCCAAATACAAAATGAGGAGAAGTACCGGGAAGGAAAAATATAGAATATAAATAATGAAATTCCTTATTAAGTCTGATTAACACAGTTATTTCCATCTCAGTCTAAACCATCATTCTTCCAAGCATAACCTAGTTTTTGAAATGTGGCTTTATGACTTGTGACATAAATATATATATATATATATATATATACACACACATATATATGCACATATACACACATATATATGGTGATTTTTATTTGTGGCAGCCTCAAAACCTTGAGTTTGGAGAATAATGTTTCCGTCACATTTCCCACACCCTGCTCTTACGGGGACCGAAGTGGTCACGGATGATTAAGCTGGTCCTAGCTGGACAAGAGCTCCACATTGCCAAAGGTCACAAACGCAAATAAGGTGGCCAAATCCTTTTATCTCCCTTACAGGCACTCCCCAGTGTACTCTAAGAGTTGCCAAAATTGGGTTTACTATTCTAGCCCATTCCTTCGGAAAGCCCGGAAGCTCAGAACCCTCAAATTGATGGGTTTTGTTTGTTTGTTGGCTAAAGGGGGAGGAGTTGAAAATGTGGCCAGGAGTAAGCGGCCCTATAAAAAGGCCTGATGTTACATTGGGCACCAGACCCCGGCTGCCTGCTCCCACCGCACGCGTCCCGTTCTGCGTCCGAGGCCTCTATATTTCACCCTTTTCTTTTTGCCTTCAAGGCTGCCTTCAACTTTCACATTAACTAGATTCACAGGTTTAGTTCTCTTGAGAGGAGGAGCGCTGAGGGGCATCCTGGTGCAGGGGTCCCTTGAGAACTGTTCATCTGCACCGAGTTCCGCTCTGGGAACTACAGCCGAGACCCCTCTGGGCAGTTCCTCCGACGTCCTGCAGAGGGCAGCAGGGCCGCAGAGAGCATCCAGGCTGGGCCCCCGCCCAGTTCCCCCTGGGAGAGCGCTAACCCTCGGTCCCATCATCACAAGCCCCACCCCAAAAGCCGCCGGGCGTCCTGCTTCAATCCGCCCCGGCTAGAAGAGCCTTCGCCGTCCGCCTTCCCATTTCTACAGCACTGGCTGCACTGGGGCGTGGTCGGGACCCTTCAACGGGCAACAAAGCCGGCCACCCGCAGCTTCGTCGCACCAAACAGGGTGCCAAGGAATAACCTCACTTCCATCTCCACCACTCACGCCGGGCCTCAGCCGGCGTACTGCGCACGCGCGGCCCCGCCCACCACCGGAGGCCTGCCGGGGTCCCCAGCCGCGCGCGCTCCCTCCTGGGAGAAAGCGCTCTAGCCAGGCCAAACCCTCAGCGTCTGACCGGCCCCTCGCTGGCTTGTTCCGGCGGGGACTCCAGCACAATCCCACCTACCGTCAGCGGCCGCGAGAGCTCCCACCCTCCTCGCCGCACGCACGCGCTGCTGCCCGCCCGCGCAAACCGAAAGGCCTAGAATAGAGGCCGATCCCCAACCCCCACCGCCAAGAGGAGGCAGGGTTTTCGAACGGGGCGGGGCCTATGTCTGACGTGGGCGCGGCTTCGGGGCCGGGGACGCTGATGAGAGGAGCACCACAGTGGCCTGGACAACTGGAGGAAAGACCGGGCGACCAGCTAGTAGTCACGCTGGCAGAGTAGAAAGAACAGCGGGCTAGACGCTGGAGAGGGAAGCTCAGGTTTGGGTTCGTCAAACTCGAGTCACTTCTCTTCCTTCCCCTACCTGTCCAGTCTTTTTTTTTTTTTTTTTGGGGGGACAGAGTCTCACCCTGTCACCAGGCGCCAGGCTGGAATGCAGTGGCACAATCTCGGCTCACTGCAACCTCCACCTCCCGGATTCAAGCAATTCTCCTGCCCCAGCCTCCCGAGTAGCTGGGACTACAGGTAGGCGCCACCACGCCCAGCTAATTTTTGTATTTTTAGTAGAGACGGGGTTTCACCATGCTGGCCAGGATGGTCTCGATCTCTTGACCTCGTGATCCGCCCGCCTCAGCCTCCCAAAGTGCTGGGATTACAGGTGTGAGCCACCGTGCCCGGCCCCAGTCTCCTTTTAACAAAATGAAGGGATTGAACTTCAAGAATCTCTCAGGTCCTCCACCAGCACTAGAGATGTTAAAGGAAGGCGCCTCCCAGGCATAAGTCCCATAGTCTGACCTCACCCTTTACCTCTCCTGCCTCATTTCTCTATAATTCCCGTACTTATGCTCCCTCACTACTGAGAAATTTCAAATGCCTTAGCTATATTGGACTTTGTACAAGTCACAGCTTTGCTCAAGCTGGACCCCGAACCTAAAAAATTCTCTACATCCATTTTCCAAAACCAAAAATCTTCCCCACTTGTCAAGGCCACCCTCAGTGCTGCTTCTTGCATAAATCCTTTCCTACTGTCCCCAATCAGATTCATTGTCCCTTCCTCTTTGCTGCCACAACATTATTTTAATCTATTACAGACTGCTTTCTGCTTTGCATTTTCGTAATTACACAGGTCTTTTTAAACCGTGAATGCCTTAAGAGGGCATGGACCCTGTCTTATCTATGTCTAGCTCCAGGACCTTGCACGTGGGAGATGCTCAATAAGTATTCAAGTGAATGCTGGGGTTCAAGTGGCATTGATAGTACACAGGCAAAATCTCATTCATTTATGGTCCATTAAATCATGGCCTTTGCTCTGGAACAGTTAGGCCTAATTAAGACAAGTAAAGGTAACCCACCCTATTGGGAAATGGAATCTCTAGGTGGGCCCATGTAATACAAACACATACACCCTCTACCTATGAGAAAGAACACCCTCTGACTCTCCAGCAGATGTGAGTTAGGGCTAAACTACCCAGGGCAGAAGTAGGAGTGCTGGTCATTTCTGGGACCTAAATCCTTCTCTTCTAGATTCAGGGCATGGCTCCCCTGAGCCAGGCAGCAAGTCTGCCATCTCTTCTGGCTCTGAGGAGCCTCCTTCCTCATCCCCAGGGTCTTCAGGCAGTGGGCAGAGGCAGCGGAGAGGCTGGGGGATGCAGAGACACCGGTTTTGGATGTGGAAAGGAAGTCTGTACACTTGAGCAGCCTTCTCCCAGGACTTCTGAGGCATTCGAGCCTCTTGGGCAGTGAAAGGAGATGGTAGCCCTTGACTTAGGCCTCGCTCAAGCTGTGTGCCTGCAAAAGAGAGGTTTGTTAGGCCATTGCCCAACCCGGGGAGTGATGGCTTTCTGGCCATTCCCCAGTCTGCTAGGGCCTGGCCTCAACTTACCAGGAATGGTGTTCTCTAGCAGGAAGCCTGAGAGTCCAGCCAGGAAGATGGGCTGTGTCAGCAGTGAATGCAGTAATACATCCAAGGGGCTCCAGCCTATGAAGGGTTGTGGCCAGGCAGGAAGGGAGCTTTGATTCTATATCCAGGCCCAGGAATCTTACCCTCGCAAATGTAAACCTAAGTCTTGGACTAAGGACAGATCTTTCTGAATTGTCATTTCATCCCCTTCACCCTTTGTCTCACTATTCTCCACTTTCCAAATCCAGGCCTTTCCCACAGGGTTTCTGTTCAACACCCTATGTTCTGATCATCCACACACCCTCCATATATGCTTTGACTGCTCCAGGCTCCCTTTCTCTAGAAAGCTTAGTATTTAAGTCACAACCTCTCATCGCTCTTTTTTTTTCTTTTTTTTATACAGAGTCTTGCTCTGTCACCAGGCCCCAGGCTGGAGTGCAGTAGCACGATCTTGACTCACTGCAACTTTCGCCTCCCAGGTTGAAGCAATCCTCCTGCCTCAGCCTCCCAAATAGCTGGGACTACAGGCACGTGCCACCACATGCAGCTAATTTTTATATTTTAGTAGAGACAGGGTTTCACCATGTTGGCCAGGATGGTCTTAATCTCTTGACCTATGATCCGCCCACCTTGGACTCTCAAAGTGCTGGGATTACAGGTGTGAGCCACCACGCCCGGCCTCATCTCCCATTTCTTTTTCCTCTATGCTCTATCCTGGGTTTTTCAATCTCAGTCCTACTGACATTTTGGACCAGATAATTCTTTGTTGGGGGTACTGGTGCAGGGGTATGTCCTGTTCATTCTAGGATGTTTAGCAGCATCTTTCTATACACTAAACACTAGTAACAACCCCCACTTCCTCCATTTGTAACAGCCAAAATGCCTTTAGACATTGCCAAATGTCCCCATGGGGGCAAAATCACCCAGTTGAGAACTACTGTTCTAGACAAATTAAATAATTTACTGCTCTCAGGACATATCCTAAGACTTCCTACTTATGTGTCTTTGTATAAATGATGGTTCCTCCATCAAGAGTGACCTTCTTCTCACCAAAGATGTTTAAAACTTACCATCCTTCATGACCAGCTCTGTTACTGGCTCACCTGAAACAGAAGCCATCTCTCTTGCCACTGAGCACCATAGTTCTTTATCTGAACCTTCCCTATGATTTTCCTACACATCTCATCTCTTTTACTACACTGTAACCAAGGCAGGCATCTTTGTGTCTCAAATGGCTAGCATGGTGCTCAATAAATATTTGTTAAACAAATGAAGTATTTACACCAAAGCCCAGAGAAGGCTGTGGGGCCAGGAGTCAGGGGAGCCTGAAGCCTCAAATCCTTGCTTCCCTGCTCCTGAGCAACTCCTCTTCCATTCCACCTACCCGTGCTGAACAGGATCGGGGCTTCCCGAAACCATCTTGGGAGCAGCAGGGCCATGAAGATGGAGAAGCCCACAATGAAGATATTTCGCCCAGAGTCTATGTCAGCCAGGTAGAAGCTGGAGAATCCAGCAGACAAAACCACAGCCTGGGTCACCCCCAGCACTCCACCTGTCTCATACAGAAGAAATCAAGGGGGTCAGCAGAGGTTAAGGGGGCTCACATAGTATGGAGCATTGCAGGGCAAGCAGGTTGTGATGGGGAAAGAAAACCAAGAGACTGATTTCTTTTTTTTTTTTTTTTTTCCTTTTTTTTTTTGGAGATGGAGTCTCACTCTGTTGCCCAGGCTGGAGTGCAATGGTGCAATCTCAGCTCACGGCAACCTCCACTTCCTACTACAAATTCAAGCAATTTCTCCTGCCTCGGCCTCCCGAGTAGCTGGGATCACAGTTGTGCGCCACCACACCCGGCTAAATTTTGTATTTTTAGTAGAGATGGATTTTCGCCATGTTGGCCAGGCTGGTCACAAACTCCTGACCTTAAATGATCTGCCCACCTTGGCCTCCCAAAGTGCTGGGATTACAGGTGTGAGCCACCACGCCTGGCCTGAGGCTGATTTCCGATTCTTCAGGAAGCCCAGAAGCCCAATCAAGAGACCAAGATGTTGGGCTGAGAAATTGAGGCTGATACATGCTTATATCTATCCATCCACTCATCCGTCCATCCATCCACCCATCCATCTATCCATCCAGGAAAGCTATTTAGAAAGAAGGGATGCCATCCTAAATAATTGATTGAGCCACGCTGGGCAGCACCAGTTCAATACCAGACCTGTTGATGCATCCACTCACCAAGCACAGGCAGCGGGATGGTGGTAAGGAACTGAGACAACCTGGGGGAGAGTCCAAGCACCACACAGAGTAGCCCCACTAAGTGAGCCACTTGCTGAGATCCAGCCTGCATGAAGAAGAGACGCTGAAAACACAGCCACTTCCTCCAACTGTCCCAGGTCTTTGCCTTACTGGCTCCCTCTCATCATTTGGATCCCAGCTCAAACATTACTCTTCCAAGAAGCCTCCCTGGCCAGTCTATCTAAACCTGCCTCCTTTCCACCCTGCTACCCTGATTTTTTTATATAGCACTTAATCGCTTTCTGAAATTGTCTTCATCTTTTTTTTTTTTTCTTTGAGACAAAGTCTCACTGTTGCCCAGGCTGGAGTGCAGTGGCGCGATCTTGGCTCACTGCAACCTCCACCCCTCGGGTTCAAACGATTCTCCTGCCTCAGCCTCCCATGTAGCTGGGATTACAGGCGTCTGCCACCGTGCCTGGCTAATATTTGTATTTTTAGTAGAGACGGGGTTTCAACGTCTTGGCTAGGCTGGTCTTGAACTCCTGACATCGTGATTCTCCCACCTTGGCCTCCCAAAGTGCTGGGATTATAAGCATGAGCCATCACACCTGGCCCCTTCACCTTTTAAAAAATTTTTATTTAAAAAAAATTTTTTTTTAATTTTTGTTTTATTTATTTATTTTTTTTTGAGACGGAATTTCACTCTTGTTACCCAGGCTGGAGTGCAATGGCACGATCTTGGCTCACTGCAACCTCCACCTCCTGGGTTCAAGCAATTCTCCTGCCTCAGCCTCCCGAGTAGCTGGGACTACAGGCACATGCCACCGTGCTCGGCTAATTTTTTGTATGTTTAGTAGAGACGGGGTTTCACCATGTTGACCAGGATGGTCTCGGATCTCTTGACCTCGTGATCCACTCGCCTCGGCCGCCCAAAGTGCTGGGATTATAGGCCTGAGCCACCACGCCCAGCCAAAATTTTTATTTTTTTTTTATTTTTTTTATTTTTTATTTTTTTTTTTGAGACGGGGTTTCGCTCTTGTTACCCAGGCTGGAGTGCAATGGCGCGGTCTCGGCTCACCGCAACCTCCGCCCCCTGGGTTCAAGCAATTCTCCTGCCTCAGCCTCCTGAGTAGCTGGGATTACAGGCACGTGCCACCATGCCCAGCTAATTTTTGTATTTTTTTAGTAGAGACGGGGTTTCACCATGTTGACCAGGATGGTCTCGATCTCTCGACCTCGTGATCCACCCGCCTCGGCCTCCCAAAGTGCTGGGATTACAGGCTTGAGCCACCGCGCCCGGCGCCAAAATTTTTATTTTTTGAGATGTAGTCTTGCCCTATCGCCCAGGCTGGAGTGCAGTGGCACAGTCTCAGCTCACAGCAACCTATGCCTCTCAGGCTCAAGTGATACTCCTGCCTCCCAAGTAGCTGGGATTACATGTGCAGGGCACCATGCCCAGCTAATTTTTGTATTTTTAGCAAAACCAGGGTTTCACCATGTTAGCCAGGCTGGTCTTGAATTCCTGGACTCAAGGGATCCACCTGCTTCAGCCTCCCCAGGTGCTAGGATTACAGGTGTGAGCCACCATGACTGGCCCACTTTTTAAAAAAGATACTATTTTCCTTCAACTGTCTGCCTCTCCCTCTACAAAGTCCCCAAGAGAGCAGAACTTTAGGTGACCCAGCCTTGGCACAGTGCTTCATGCACAGGAGTTCAGTGGTAACTTGTTCACTTCCCTAGTCTCTTAGCCCAAAGTCTAATCTTAAGCACCTCTCCAAGTGAGATAGTTGATGTGAGGTGTTGGGTGCAGCTGGCAATCAATCGATGTAAATTCCCTTCCCTCTCCTTCACTGCTGGCTGCACCCCACCCCCATCCCAGGTCCACATACCTGGATAAGACCCACTTTGCCCACGTTGGGGAAGCTGGATGCGGTGCCCATGGGGCTTCCCAGCAGCCCGGCCAGCACACTGCCCAGCCCCTCCAGGCTCAGCCCTCGACTGCAGGCGTGTGGAGGTGGGGGAGGCAAATGCAGCAGCCGGCCACACAGGGCATAGCAACCCAGGGAGCTGGTGGAGGCTGCCAAGGCCATGGAGATGCCTGCAGCCAGAGCTCTGGGTGTCAGCAAAGGCCAATCCCACTCACCTGGGGAAGGAGAAGGAGCCACTTTGGGGCCAGGTTCAAGTCAGGAGTATCCCCCTGCCTCCAACAGCCTGTGCCACAAGAATCCTAGATGCCTCAGTGTATTTGAAGATAATGTCTTGGGACAAAACTACAGAACTCGAAGGAGAAAGACTCATCCCTTGACCATGTTCTACAAGGTCCTCTTTGGTCTGGCCCTTCCCTCTCTCTGCAGCCTCATCTCCCAGCACATACCACCTCACTTCCTTCACTCCTGCCACATGGTCTCATTGTAGGCCTTTATACTTGCTGTGCTTCCAGCCACCACAGGGCCTTTGCATATGCTGTTTCCTGCAACTAGAATGCTCTTCCCTCATGCCTTTGTCTAGTTAGCCCCTACTTATCTCCTCCATCTCAACTCAATTATCACGTCCTCAAGAATATCTTTCCTTAGACCAGGCACGGTGGCTCACACCTGTAATCCCAGCACTTTGGGAGGCTGAGAAGGTGGATCACCTGAGGTCAGGAGTTTGTGACCAGCCTGACCAACATGGTGAAAGCCCATCTCTACTAAAAATACAAAATTAGCTAAATGTTGTGGCGCATGCCTGTAATCCCAGCTACTTGGGAAGCAGGAGTTGAGGCAGGAGAATCACTTGAACACAGACGGTGGAGCTGCAGTTAGATAAGATCACACCATTGCACTCCAGCCTGGGTGACAAGAGTGAAACTCCATATCAAAAAAAAAAAAAAAAAAATCTTTATTGACCTCCCTGATTAATTCAAATTCCCTATTATAAACTTTTTTGTTTGCCTGTTTGTTTTGAGACAGGTCCTTGCTCTGTTGCCCAGGCTGAAGTGCAGCGGTGCAATCATACCTCACTGCACCTTCAATCTCCTAGGCTCAAGCAATCCTCCCACCTCAGCCTCCCAAGTAGCTGGAACTAAAGGTGTGTGCCACCACAACTGGCTAATTTTTTTTTTACTTTTAATAGAGACAAAGTCTCACCATGTTGCCCAGGCTGGCCTCCAACTCCTGAGCTCAAGCAATCCTCCCGCCTCAGCCTCCCAAAGTGCTGGAATTTCAGGTGTTAGCCATGGCACCTGGCATTTGATTTTATTTTTGTAAACAGAGTCTCACTCTGTCACCTGTGCTGGAATGCAGCAGTACGATCATAGCATGGTGCAGCCTCCAACTCCTGGGCTCGAGGGATCCTCCTGCCTCCATCTCCTGAGTAGCTAGGCCTACAAGCGTGTGCCACTGGACCCTGCTAATCTTTTTATGTTTTGTAGAGATGGAGTCTTCCTTTATTACCCAGGCTGCTCTTGAAATCCTTGCCTCAAGCAATCTTCCTGCTTCTGCCTCCCAAAGTGCCGGGATTATAGGTGTGAGCCACTGTGCCTGGCCTCCATTATTAGCTCTTAGGACATACTGTATCTCCCTTTGGTTACACTTCCCACAATGGCAATTTTATATTTCCTTGGATGACTCTTTAATTAGCATCTGTATTCCCCAATAGACTGTAAGCTCGAAGGAAAGGACTGTGTCTGTCACGTTCATCACTATGTCCCCTAACATATGCCTAGCACATAATCAGCTCAACAGATCCTTATTAAATTAATGAGTGAGCAGCCTGAACAACATGGTGAAATCCCATCTCTACCAAAAAAACGCACAAAAATTAGCCAGGCATGGTGGTGCACGCCTGGAATCCCAGCTACTTGTGGGGCTGAGGCACAAGGATAGCTTGAGCCCAGGAGGTTGAGGCTGCAGTGAGTCAAGTTTGCATCTCAGTTTGGGTGACACAGCAAGACCCTGCCTCAAAAAACAAATTAAATAAATAAATAAATTGAAGAATGGGCAAATTTCACATACAATGCCTCAAAAGCAATCTTTATACATAGGTTGCCAAGTCAAATGCCCATGGAGGCTGGTAATATAAATGTGTTCATTGGGTAAGGAGTATTGATAGTGAGTATTGGGGGCTACAGCAACAATAGATGTGTCTCCTAACACTGACCCAAATAAAACACCTGTGGTGGGATGGGCCACAGTGGTTCACGCCTGTAATCCCAGCACTTAATCAAGCAGATCACTTGAGCCCAGGAGTTTTGAGACCAGCCTGGGCAACACGGTGAAACCCCGTCTCTACCAAAAAAAAAAAAAAAAAAAAAAAAAGCCAGCATGGTGACATGCACTTGTAGTCCCAGCTACTTGGGAGGCTTAGATAGGAGGATCACTTGAGCCTGGGAGGTTGAGGCAGCAGTGAGCCATGATCATGCCACTGTACTCCAGCCCGTGTGACATAGTGAGACCCTGTCTCAAAAAACAAACAAACAACAACAAAAAAGAAAAAACGCCTGCAGTGAGGGACTAGCATTGTCTGTCCCCTAGACTGGCAATTATTCTCTCCTGTATGTTTTGAGAAAACACAAGATTTAACTCAGAAATAAAATCCATTAAGTAGTTTGAGTTCAAATAAATAGATACCTTTATTTGAGCAAGAGAATGGAGGACAAAGAGAAAACCCACCTGGGTGAGGCAGCCAAATCCACGGTGCCTTGGTGGGGTCAGACAGTTCCTGGGGGATAACGCTGAACCCCACAAAGGCAGAGATGATCCACACACAGGCCACTGGGATCAGCACCTGAGGGGCGAGACTGAGACAGAAAAGAACTCCTCCCCAGAACTTTCTGAGCCAGCCTTGGAGGGGTAGAAAGAAATCGAAAGGTAGGGGCTGGAGTGAGCACTCCAGGGTAGCCCTTCTGACCTCTACGCCCTGCCCAGACCCACACATACCGAGAGGAGCCGGAAGGCAGGGAGAGGAGTGTGAGTTGATGAGGTTGAAGCTCGCCTCCAAGGGCACACATGAAACTGGCAGGAGCCCAGGTGCTGAGAACAGACCACCATGAGCAGGATGACCCTAGTAGAGAGAAGGCTTTAGGAGCAAGAGCAGCAGGCATCCTGAGGGATGGGAAAGGAGGTGAGAGTGGGCAGAATACTATAAAAAGGGGTGTCCCAGAGAAGGAAACTCCCATGGAAGGAATAGGAAGGTACCTCGAGGGACAGCAGAAGACAGTGTGAAAGTCAGAGACAACAGATGAATCAAGGAAAAGTCTTGGATTCCAAATATAAAACATGTCCCTATTCCAGTTGCTGCTGAATCTGATAGGACCAGCAGCTCTACCCTCCCCCTGTCTCCCCATACACCCCACTGGGCACCATCCCATGCCTCAGGACTCAACGTACAGCAAGGCCAATCCCCAGTGAGCAGAGCAGAACTGGGCCACCTCCCTGTGGGCCGAGAGCCCTGCCACAACCAGGCTGGGGGCCAGTACCAGGGGCCCACAGTGGAGGAACACGCGGCCAGGACTCCCCAGCAGCCCCAGCGTGCCCTGCAACAGTCCAGATACGACCACTGCCCCGGCTACCTGGTAGGAGAGAGGATGGAGAGAAAACATTCTGCTCAGTCAAACTGGCCTCAGCCTGGTCTTCCTAATTCTAGGTACGGGTTCCTCCCCCAGCTCCTTTCCGGGAGCATCTCAGTCTCTGCAAAATGGAAACAAGAGCCCTCCCTCCCACCTCCAAAAGCCTGGCACCATCCTTATCCCTCCTCACCTCTAGACACCCACCTCCTGGAGAGAAGTGTTCCAGTGCCCCAGGTCGTGGCAGCTAGGTCCCCTACACAGATGCAGCATGAGGGAGGCTAGGAAAAGTTTGGGGCATAGAAAAGAGAAAGGTGAATGGGATGGAGACCCATTGCTCTAACAGTCCCACTCCTGGCACAGGTCCAGGCCCCCTACAGTGCCTCAGTCTCACCACTGCCCAATCTCAATCCTGCACCCACCTATACCTGCACACTCGTATGAGAACCCAACCCCACCCTTACCGCTTTCCCTTGCTCTGTGCTCACAGTTTCCAGGTGTCTGGATGGCCAGAGGTAGCTTCTGGCTGGTCAGCAGCAGAGCAGGGATGAGGAACTCTAAGGATGGAGCCTGGACAAGAGGCAGCCTGTAGGAACGGCAGCCCCAGCAAGTCTGGAAATACGTGGCAGCCAACAAAGCTTCCCCAGACCTCTCCTACCCTCCGGAACCCTGCCCCTCTCTCCAGGGAGGTTCCTCTCACCTGCTGCCCATCCAAGTTTGCAGGATGGTAGACACACCACATGAAAAGAAGCTGGAGGCCAGGAGCTGAGAAGGGGAGTATGAGAGTCCTCCTGGGGGGAGACTGTAAAGCAGGAGCAGGTGGGAGACACAGAGCAGAGAAGCCACGACCAAGACATGCTGTAGGTGGAGGAATGGGGAGGGCAGTCTTCAGACAGGTGGAAATACCTACAATACTTCCAGAGGTTTTCGTGTGTCACACCTACCCCTATTTCCCCACACACACCATCAGCCAGCACCTCTGCCTCCTACCTGCAGAGCCAGAAGAAAGCTGAGGCCCCAGGGCAGAGATCCACACAGAGGATCCCAAGAGTGGGTGGAGGGATTCTGGGGAGTAGGTGGAGGCAGGGAAGCCAAGGCATCCTGTGAGCCCACTGATCGGAGCTGGTTGGGATTGAGAGGTGATCGGCTCATGCTGCCCTGCCTTTTGCTTTGTCTTGGCTGCCCAGGGCCAGAGTTAAATAGGCAGAGTAAGAGGTCAGAGTTTGGGTGAAGTCTGGGGTGGGGAGAAGGTGGGGGTGTCAATGAAGCGGAGCAAAGGTATAAGGAATTTGGGGCTGGGCACCGCCCTTTCACCTTTGCCCAGCTCTTGTGTAAATTCCATCAGCCATTAACTGGGAAGCTGAGTTCTGGAGCCCTCCCCCAAGAATCTTCTTCCAGATTTCCTCCTAGACCACACTGTAGAACGTAGGGTAGGAGGGGTGGGGAGAAGAGATCTTCAAAATAATCTGGGGAAATTTTGCAGACTTCATTCCCTCCCATTTAAAACCATCACTATTCGATTTATAGTCCTCACCTCTTTCAGGACCAAGGCCCCTGGACTACTTCAAAACGAAACTTGTGGGCCGAGTGTGGTGGCTCATGCCTGTAATGCCAGCACTTTGGGAGGCTGAACTGATCACTTGAGGTCAGGTGTTCAAGACCAGCCTGGCAACATGGTGAAACCCTGTCTCTACTAAAAATACAAAAATTACCTGGATGTGGTAGCATATGCCTGTAATCCCACCTACTCGGGAGGCTGAGGCACAAGAATAGCTTGAACCCAGAAAGTGGAGGTTGCAGTGAGCTGAGACCGCACCATTGCACTCCAGCCTGGGTGACAGAGTGAGACTCTGCCACAAAAAAAGAAAAAAAACCAAAAACTTGTGGCTAATATATCCTGTATCACATGTAACAACCACAACTACCCGTAACATGCTCACTGTAATGAACAAAATTTATAACACGTATTTCATTATGTGAAGGCTTAAGCACAACTAAACCAGAAGACAATAAAGTACAATGAAGCAGTCAATTCCCACACCCTACGTAGAATCGCTGTGGTTGCAACAGCTACAGTGAAAGCTGATATTCGTAACCCGATTTTCCAGAATGAGAAACAAACTCTTGGTTAAAGTGTGAAGTAAAACAAAGTAGTTTTAATTGACATGGGAATGAATTCCTAGCAAACTCAGTCTTTTCCAAATTGCACAAACACTATTTCATGTTTAGAGGTACAAAGATAGTTCTAGGCTCAGATAAATAAACAGGGTTTTCATATACATAAAGCTGGTCATTCAAAAGTTGTGCTGGGAATTCTTTACAGTAAGGGAGGTCTGAGCATTTCAGGATGTCTAGCATCCTGCCCAGGTTGATGAAATGCTAGTAGCATACCCTCAAATCCTTCTGACAATGAAAATGGCCCATGAATTTCCAAAATGCCCCCTAGGGGGCAGAACCACCTCTTCCGTGAAGGATCCTCAGCAGTCCCCAGTACACTCAGCCAAGCTGCCCAGACTATTTTCCTTCTTCAAGTGATGACCCAGCCTTGGAGGTCTTCAAGTTCTTGGAATTGTTAAACACATGTGACCATCACCATGTCAGCCTAGTGAGAAGGTCAGGAGAGAGGTGTCCTCATGGCTTGCTCTCAGGAGCTCCTGATGCCTTGCTAGATACAAGGCCGGGCCCCTCTCCAGGAGACGAGCTTCGGAATCCACAAGGAGAGTGCTCACCCAGAACAAGTGACAGATAAGACCAACTCAGGCACGGGACAGTCACTCTTTGTGCCCCATGGCACCCCAAGTTGAACAGTGCTAGGGCCCAGGGTCCTGGGAGCAGGAACAAAGTTGGAAATGAAAGCTATGCCTATTAAATGATAGGAAAGTCCTGAGATGAGTTTCAGAGAAAACGGTTTGTGAGATGACAGGATGAGGAAGCAGGGAGGCTTGGGAGGTGGATACAGGGAGGAAAGACCTTTAAGGGTTGCCGCAGAAGGAAAAGTCCAGGCCATGCAACTGAAACTGTTTATTGAAACCTCAGTTCTACAAAAGCGTGAAAAACCCTGATACAAAGCAGTGGCCAGAAAGGCCTGGGAAGAGAACACCCAGGAGAGGAACGAGAAGAGAAGGAAGCCTAGGAGCAGGACACTAGGAGAACACTGGAAGACAAAAGGTCAGGGTTGAAGGTCCCAGCAGTCCTTTGCTCCACTAGACTAAAGCTAAGGAACGGGAGTGAAAAGAATTCCCTGCCTCACCCAGCAGCTCCCACCTGACCCCATCAGTCCCTGGCTCTTCTGCCTCAGGAACATCACACAGGCCCATGTCAACATTTCCTTCCTCCTCTCACCCCACTTCCCTTATCTCCCACCTTTACCTTTCCATCCTAGGGAACTAAAAAGTAAACGTCTAGAAAAAGAGAAGGGCTTCTACTATGTCCATCTGGGACATGTCCCTGGTGACCAAGTGGAAGCTCTCCCTGGTGCCATCACTGTCCTGGCCAAGCAGCCAGCCAGCAGCCACTGAGGTCTAGAAGTGAATGACCTTCAGTCCTTCTGCCCTACCACCCCATAAGCTCCCACCCAGGAGGACAGGGGATCTGCCAAGGACCCAGAGAGGCAGAGAGGATCTAAATCAAGCTTTGCTCCTCCAGGTTCTCTGAACTCCCAAACCCTCTTAATGCATTCCTCGGAGCCCTACCTAGCCTGGGAAAATGAAAGACTTGAGGCGAGCCAGCTCCATGACACTGAAAAGGGAACATTGCTGGGGCTGGGGAAGCGAAGGGGGCACTGGACTCCAGGGCCAGGGGGGAGCCAGGCCATAGGTATGGTACCAGGGGCTGGGCTGCCCAGCAGGGACTGTACGGTTGGGATGGTGGCAGGCACGGCAGGTTGGGGAGTCTCTCTGGAGCTTCTGGCAAAGGGGGCAGTTATGAAAAAGAGTAGGAGGGGCAGGGGGGTCTGGGGGAGGCAATGGTGGAGGAGTCAGCGAGGCAAGAAGACTGCCCCAGAGTGACTGCAGCCCTGTGCTGCCTTTCAGGCAGCTGGAGACATTAGCAGGAGATGGCAGGCATTGTGGCACAGAAGGTATGCAGGGCTCCAGGAGGCACCGGGAGGTCAGTCCAAGATCAGGTGGCCCAGGTGCAGGGGTGCAGGACAGCCCCAAAGACTGATGTATTACGGCCACTGATGCCACAGCCAGGGCCACACTGCTCACATATGCCACAGCTAACATGCAGGACAGCTGCAGGAGAGGAGGTAAGAAAGGATTCTGACTGTCTTTAACACATTCTCACCCCTTGCCTCTAGAAACTTGTGTTCCAGTTGGAGCTCTCTATAGCCATTTATACCCCATCTTGCCCATCTATTCCCAATCCCATCTCTCGGGCCTTTCAGCAATCACTTCACACCATCCCACCCTATACATCAGCCTGCTGAAGCTCCTGTCCTTCCAAGCCCTCCTCACCTTTACCAGCCGCTGGCAGAGGGAGCCCAGGGCAAACTGCCAGGTTGGCTGCTCCAGCAGCACACACAGATCTGTGTAGGTGTACCAGCCTCGCCGCCGTCCCTGCTGCTCAGCCACACTAGGGGAAATAGAGAAATGACAGAGTACGCAACTCTCCCTCAGCCAGCCCAGTGGCACCCTCCTGTCACCCAGGACCCACCAGAACACACTGGGGAGCTTGTTAAACCTACAGATTCCTAGGCTATCTGCTGATCTAGAAACTAAGGGTGAGACCAAGACCTGTATTTTATTTATTTTTATTTATTTATTTAGTTAAGACAGGATCTTGCCGTTTCCCAGACTAGAGTGCTGTAGTGCAATCATAGCTCACTGCAGACTTGACATTGTGGACTCAAGTGATCCTCTAGCCTCAGCCTCCTGAGCTGGGATTATGGGTGTACTCCACTACACCTGGCTAATATTTTTTTCTGGTAAGGTCAGGGGTCTTGCTACATTGTCCAGGCTGATCTCGAAATCCTGGACTCAAGCAATCCTCCTGCCTTGCCCTCCCAGAGTGCTAGCATTACAGGCATAACTACCGTACCCACCCAACACATGTATTTTAAATAAGCTGTTTCCCACCTTCCCAAAGAAGATGATGAAGAGGACACACATGTTTGGGAACCACTATCTTGGCAATTCTCTTTCTTGTCTCCTTCCTCCCCTAGTTACACAGACTCCCATCTCTAGCTCCTATAGCTGAGGCCTCAGCCCCCAAATCCCTCAAGCCCTTCTTCTCAACTCCTAGAACCTACCAGCTCTCCAGCCAGCTCAGCACCTCAAAGATCTCTCGAGGGTCAGTGTAGAGACGCCAATCCTGTAAGGAGAGAGGACACCAAACCAGACTTGGATATGAGCCACAATCATTTAATAATAAGAGCCATAGAAGCAACTACAACCACCACTATGGCTAATGCATACTTAGCACTTAATATATGCCAGATACCGTCTTAAAACCTTTTACATATTAACTTATTGGATCACCACCTGCCTGGTTTCACATTATACCCTCCATTAAGGAAGAGGAGAGAAAATTATGCTGAGAATGGTTCACGCCCACAGGGAGCTAAACGTCTAGGGGCAGAAAAAGTATGGACACAAATACTCAGAACCCAATAGGATAAACTCTGATTCAGAGTGTACCCTGTGAGGCCTGACTCAGAGTATACCTGTGGGACTCTGGAGGAATAGAGGAATAGAGCCTCACTGCTCTAGAATCTCCAAAACCGTGGTTAGTACTGAAGAGATGGGAAACGAAGACACTAACACAAAGGCACAAGAAAGACAGAAGACAAATGACAAACCAACAGAAAGCTGTGCAAGAACAAAGGACTTAAGGATGGTAAAGATGGGCCAGGGAAACTGAGCAAGAGAGAGAACAGCTACTCACCATGGCACTCAGGAAGCCCCTCTCCAAGGCATTGAGAGTGGGCACGGCCACACCCCCAGCAGCTCCCCATTCATCATTGAAGACCTCCTCCTCCTCCCCTTCATCATAGAGGTACTTACTGGCCACCATCTGCCGAGGAACCAGAAGTGGTAGAGCAGAGCTCACAGCAGGCCCCTGGCTCACTAGGGAGACGGGGAGGGGGTATCTTACCATTGAGATCAAGAACAAGTCAGAGGATGACACGTGCTGCAGGTAGTCTGGGTTTCGGTGCCGGAGCCGTTCAATGTACACCAGAGCCAGCATCATAGCACATGGGGAGATACACGCCTCCCTGAGGGCAGAAAGGATCACTAATTAAATCCAAGCGTCCTTCCACTCTTGCAAGTTTTAAGATGCTAGCTCCTGTCTTTACCACTTATCTTTGGAAAAAAACTATTCCTGGCTGGGCACAGTGACTGATGCCTGTAATCCTAGCACTTTGGGAGGCCAAGGTGGGTGGATCACTTGAGGCCAGGAGTTCAAGACCAACATGGTGAAACCCTGTCTCTATCAAAAATACAAAAATTAGCTAGGGATGGTGGTGTGTGCCTGTAGTCCCAACTACTAGGTAGGCTGTGTGGCACAAGAATCACTGGAACCCAGGAGGTGGAGGCTGCAGTGAGCTGAGATTGTGCCAGTGCACTCCAGCCTGGGCAGCAGAGCAAGACTGTCTCAAGGGAAAAA